TTGTCGATTAACTTAAAGTTAGTGAAGGCGGAATCGCGCTGATAGAAGTGCTCTCTCTGGCGCACGCTCCACTTCTTCAGTTGTCATATACAGTAGGGCTGCACAATTAATCGAATTTCTAATCACAATTACAGTTATGGATGCCACAATTACGTAATCGTTCAAAGCGGCAATTAATCATTCAAAGTCCACTTATGTTATTCTGCACTCTTAAGATATGTTTTTTTCTTTCTACATGTTATCATATAAGGGTTTTTCCATTGTTTTAGTTTTAGTATAACATTTTTGATACCATTCATATTTTTACTTTTTTTATAATTTAAAGAAGAAACCAATCCGATGTATATTTGACATTTGAGGCTTAATACTATAGAAAAGCACGAAAGGTTTTTCAGTTAGTGTTTTCAGCTTGTTTATTTTCATATAAAAATACAGCATGCAGTTGCATCAAACAATGGTATAAACATCATTCAATGTAAATGGTCATAATCGTAATTAATAATCGCAATTACAATTTCAAGGGAATAATCGACAATTACGATTTTTGTCATAATCGTGCAGCCCTAATACATATACGTACATACACACACACATGGTTTTTTACATCTAGTAATGTTTAAACAATTTTAAATACATATAAATTCAAATCTTCATATCATTTTCAGGATGCATACCTTTCCAACTAAAATGATAATGATACTAAATTGGTAAGTTTTTTATTTAAAGTTTTCTGTGTATGATCACCACAAATTATCGCATATGAATTTATCGCATATGAACCCACATTTGTACACTTGATGATGTGTTACAAAGGGATCTAAAATAGGATATAAAAGTGATCTTTCAAGTTTTTAATTTCAGCAACCCAGAATATGAAATAGCAGTTTTTGTATATTAATATTGACACATAGAAAGTAATTGTTTCAGAACTAAACCGTCTTTTTAAAGAGGTAGATACAGATAGATTTTGTATGTGTTTTGCTGTTTATACACTTGCAACAAGATCTGATCTGAGCCAGAATTTCCTCATACATCTAGTCGTCATGACTAAGTGCTTATCATGACCGCCTCTTAAAGGCAAACTAGTTTTCTAGTAATCTTGGCTTCATTCCTCTCAGAAACATGACTACTATTTTCATGTCATTTGACTCAAAGGTGCTATGTTGAGTTTCCACAACTTTGACTGTCAGTGCTTTGGCTCATATGTAGTCAATCAAGCTGATATCAGGTGACAGTCTGTCTGTAGATATGGCTCATATTCACATGTCCGTTCTGCCCTCTTGTCTTAGATCCTCAAGAGGCTGCGCAATGCTTACTCCACATCTTTGTTTTGTTGTAGCAAAAGCTTTTCATGATTTGGTCTGCTGACCTAGATGTCACAATGGTTCCAGTAACCTGATCTTACACCGGTGATGCAAATCAATGCAAATTACAGACCCTTCATTTTTATTATTGGTTTTGACTGGGTCAAAAAAGCCTCTTATCACTAAATCGATAACCTACTGTATCTGAAAAATGAGTTTAATTTGTATCTCTTTCGTATTTGTCTTATTGTGTTATTCTGCTTCTTTTTCAAAAATGAGAAATTTTATATATATATATATATATATATATATATTTGAACAACTATAATTTATTTAAGTTGCTCCCGTTTCAATAGTATTAAAGGGATAGTTCACCCAAAAATGAAAATTGTCAAAATTCAATCCTTGATTCAAATTTCTTATTAGCTTAATTGATTTGGTCTAAAGAGAGAAGAATTAATGACTATTTTTGTTTGAAGACTACATATAAAAT